AAGTGTTTTAATTTTTATTAAATTTTAAATCAGCTTTGTTTTTTTTATTTTATTTTTCAAGTGTTTTAATTTTTATTAAATTTTAAATCAGCTTTGTTTTTTTTATTTTATTTTTCAAGTGTTTTAATTTTTATTAAATTTTAAATCAGCTTTGTTTTTTTTATTTTATTTTGAAAGTGTCCTGCCCTCAGCCAATCAAACAGCAGCTTCACAGAAATAAAAACAGCAGAAAAAGGTTTTATTCACATGTTTCATGTTGGACCAGAACAACCTGAAGAGCACCTGAACGCAGCCGGAGCTGCTGATTGGTTCTGGTTCTGTTGACTGAGAACTGCAGGGAACGCCACGTGATGCCTTCAGGAACATCTGTCTGCGTGGGGAAACAGATGTTCAGCTGCTGAAGTACATCTGGACCACATGGCTCCATCCTGTCACCGTGTCCCAGACCCAACACGTCTGGATCGTTCTGGCTCTGGGTTCTGGAGGGCTGGTGTCACATTTTGTACAGGCCCAAAACCCCCAGAACCATCTGTTTGGGTCTGGTTCTGGTCAAAGGCCCGGTGATGATGTCAGAGTTAAAGTCATGTGACCTGAAGGTCAGTAGGCGGAGCTCTGAAGAAAGTGGTGAGCAGGACATGATGTCACATGAGCTGTGGCTAAACGAGTCCTCTGTCCCCCAGAGTCCACCGTGGAAAAACCCGAGTCCGGTTCCCCCGAATCCGGCTCCAGTTCCTCCGAGTCTGGCTCCAGTTCCTCCGAGTGCGGCTCTGGTTCCCCCGAGTCCGGTTCCAGTTCCTCCGAGTCTGGCTCCAGTTCCTCCGAGTCTGGCTCCGGTTCCCCTGAGTCTGGCTCCGGTTCCCCCGAGTCTGGCTCCGGTTCCCCTGAGTCTGGCTCCGGTTCCCCTGAGTCTGGCTCCGGTTCCCCTGAGTCTGGCTCCAGTTCCCCTGAGTCCGGCTCCGGTTCCTCCGAATCCGGCTCCGGTTCCCCCGAATCCGGCTCCAGTTCCCCCGAGTCCGGCTCCAGTTCCCCCGAGTCCGGCTCCAGTTCCCCCGAGTCTGGCTCCGGTTCCCCCGAGTCCGGCTGCGGTTCCCCCGAGTCCGGCTCCAGTTCCCCTGAGTCTGGCTCCAGTTCCCCCGAGTCTGGCTCCGGTTCCCCCGAGTCCGGCTGCGGTTCCTCCGAGTCCGGCCCGAGTCTGGCTCCGGTTCCCCCGAGTCTGGCTCCAGTTCCCCCGAGTCTGGCTTCGGTTCCCCCGAGTCCGGCTCCGGTTCCTCCGAGTCCGGCTCCGGTTCCCCTGAGTCCGGCTCCGGTTCCCCTGAGTCTGGCTCCGGTTCCCCTGAGTCTGGCTCCGGTTCCCCTGAGTCTGGCTCCGGTTCCCCTGAGTCTGGCTCCAGTTCCCCTGAGTCCGGCTCCAGCTCCCCTGAGTCCGGCTCCGGTTCCCCCGGGTCTGGCTTCAGTTCCCTCGAGTCCGGCTCCGGTACCTCCGAGTCCGGCTCCAGTTCCCCTGAGTCCGGCTCCGGTTCCCCTGAGTCCGGCTCCAGTTCCCCCGAGTCCGGCTCCGGTTCCCCTGAGTCCGGCTCCGGTACCTCCGAGTCCGGCTCCGGTTCCCCGAGTCCGGCTCCGGTACCTCCGAGTCCGGCTCCGGTACCTCCGAGTCTGGCTCCGGTTCCCCCGAGTCCGGCTCCGGTTCCCCTGAGTCCGGCTCCGGTTCCCCTGAGTCCGGCTCCGGTTCCCCCGAGTCTGGCTTCGGTTCCCCCGAGTCCGGCTCTGGTTCCCCCGAGTCCGGCTCCGGTACCTCCGAGTCCGGCTCCGGTACCTCCGAGTCTGGCTCCGGTTCCCCCGAGTCCGGCTCCGGTTCCCCTGAGTCCGGCTCCGGTTCCCCTGAGTCCGGCTCCGGTTCCCCCGAGTCTGGCTTCGGTTCCCCCGAGTCCGGCTCCGGTTCCCCCGAGTCCTATGCGGACAGGTCGCTGGTGTCGAAGCGCTCCTGGTCGTAGACCTGGGCCAGCACCTTCCTCCCTCCGAACCAGCGGTTGTTGAGCGCCTGGATGGCCCGGTCCATCTCGGCCGCCTCGGAGAACTCCACGAAGATCTTGACGATGACGTCAGCGTCGTCCTCCTCGCCCTGACGCTCCTGGTAGATGATGACCCTCTTCACACGGCCGAACTTCCCACACTCCTCGGTCACCTCGCCCTCCAGGTCGTCGTCGATGTCGTCGGGTCCGACCATGTTCCTCAGAACCATGACGGTGGACTGTGTCGGGGTCAAAGGTCAGAAACAGAAGGATGTTTCCAGACTTTATTCTGCAGAACTTTTAAAATCACACGTTCTGATGGTCCCGACCCTAACCACAGGGCTCCTCCTCCTGGGCGGAGCCAGACTCACCTGCTGTTTTCGGAGCAACTTCCTCATCACCATGTGCCGGGCGCTGCTGCCGCTGATGCTCATGTGCTCCTGCTCGCTCAGCGGCTCCGTGGCTCCATCCTGCTGCACCTCCTGCTGAAGCTCCGCCTCCTCTTTCTTCTTGTGCTCTGCTCCAAGTAAGGCTGCTGCAGATGGGGACGTGGCCAGCACTGGGGTCACCAGCCCTACCTGAGGCAGGCCAGGTCGAATTGGGGTCACACCTGAAACTGACAGGAAGCAGAAAGTTCCCTCAAAAACAGGAAGCTGTCACATAGGCCCCGCCTCTGTGAAAGGGAGGGTCTACAGCAGAAAGGAGGAGGGGCTTAGAGGACACTCTGAGGTACAACGGTCAGGAGGTTCAAATGGGTGGGAAGCCTGTGGGCGGGGCCAACACTGATCTTACCTGTGATGACACCTGGAACCTGGGCGGCCATGACAGCCTGAGGAAGGCCGAGTTGTTGGGAAAGAAGAGCCGGAGCAGCGAGCGCTCCGAGTACCGACGCTCCAACTGCTTCCTGAACGCAC